AGAATTACATAAGTGCATATAGATGCTTTAAATAATGAAATGAAAGCACATAGAGAGTATCGGCAATTGGCTCAAAATAGGTAAGAGCGTATTGGCAAATTGTTACATGAAAATTTTGTCTACCAACTATTAATTCAGTATAAGGATACTCAAATTGCTGAGCATAGGAGAATTGCATATAGATTAACTGTATGCTATAATAATGATACAGAATACTAGAGAAGAAGACATGCAGGTTGTGTTCGCTAGGTACAAAATTAGAAGGAACAGTATAGGAATTTACAGAATCAAGTTCAGGCTCATGATCAGAATATTTTAAATTTGCAGAAACAAATTTTAACGCTTCAGAATAACCCACCTAATATACAATATATAGGAATGGTAGAATACAGACCTCTAATATTTTATGGTTATCCTGGAGAGGATTCAGAAGATTGGCTTAGAAATATGCAAAGATATACAATAGCTAATCGAATAAATGTTGCACCTGATGCAGGTTAAGTTGCTGAAAGAGAAAAGGCATTTGGATTAATAATAATCTTGCAGGTGATACATTGAATTTTTATTTAACTCGCATCAAAGGCAAAAATTGAAGATGTAATAATCTTTCAGATAACTTAGGTGTAGCAGACTTAAATGCTGTTTGAGCAATAGGAGCTGAAAATGGTAGTAATCAAATTGGTAATTTGAATACTACTAAAGAATTTTAAAGTAAAGCAGGAGCTGAAATTGGTAAAATTAGAGCTGGGGTCACAACTGGTACTGATATTATTCTGAATGGAACATGGGATGAAGACTGGTTTATCGCAGGTGATGAGTCTACAAATAATGCACTAGTGACACCAAATGCTGAAGGTGATCTTCCTGCTGTTACTATTGCTCCTGGTATTAAGCTTGACTAACTTCTTTACCTGTTTAAAACCACTTATATAACAGTTGAGCATTTAAAACAAACAGCAGTTTTTGGTTAACTTGTGTAAGGCGATTTATCCGTTGAGTAATTCTCTACTAAAATTAAAAAGATTAGTAAATTAGCCGAAATGATTCTTAAACAGTAAAGAGAGTAATTTATTCATGGTCTGTCTCTGATGAATCAATATAATCTTTGAATGATGGCTAAATTTCATGATACTCAGGATAATATTATAGAAGTATTGGCTGAAGCAGAAAAATTTACATTATCTCAACAGAACGCATCATCTTCTTTTCCAATTTTTTTAGCAATCAATCCATATGTAGATACTAACAGATCAGGGATGACTAAAACTGAAATTGAGAGTTTGATAAAAATACAAGGGCATCTTCAGAATTTCAATGACCTCAATAAGTGGCTTCATTGCAATTTTAACCACATCTTGCAGGAACGCATAAAAATTTACAAGATGAAAATATAGGTAGATTTTTATCATGGATTATAGGAGAAATCCCAGAATTTATTCTTATCTCTAATCCTACTTTGCCACCAAAGCCAAAGAAAAAGGTTGAAGTTAATTCTGACGAAGAACTTGCTGAGTTCACAAAAAAGCAGTTAAAGCTACATGTGGCTAAAGTGATTAAAAAAGCTGTGAAGACACAACAGCGGTGCTCTAACTGTAACTGAACTAGACATAATTCTCGCAAATGCACTCAGAAGAAGAAAAAGAAGAATAAGTCTAAGAAAGTTAAAGTTAATCTCGCTACTATAGATTCAGGTTCTGATTTAGATTCAGATTCTAACACCACTAGTGAATCATCATCTAGTGATAGTTCAGATTCTAACACAAGTTCTTCTAATTCTGAGGCAATATCAGTGTTAATATTATCAAGTCAAAAAAAAAGTAAAGCATAATACTTCATCTAGTAATAAATTTAGATCTAAAAGCAAATCTGAGAAAAAGGCCTGCAAGATAAAGCAAGATGATACATTTGCCAATTCTTTTTCTTCTAAAGCCTAGATTATTCATAAAATAGTTCAGAGTGAGCTTGGTTTAGCTTTGCGAGAAGAACTTAAAAAGATTCTTCCTCCGTATATGATTCAGACTCTCTTGCTAAACACTAAGAAGCCTGCTAAAGAAAAGGTCAAACTGAAAGCTAATGATTTCTCATCTTTTTAGGAACTAACCTCGCAGTATCTGAGTCAAATGATGAGTATATCAATGATCTCATGGAAATAGATTTCATTCAAAGAAAAGAATTCGCTACAGATATTATAACTATTAAGTGTAAAATTAAGCGTCTAGTGATTTCAGCAGGTATAGTTGATTCTGATACTAATTTTCTGATCATGTCTGAGAATATAGCTAAACGATCAAAGCTAGAAATTGATACAAAAGAAAAACATGATCTCAAAGGTATTGCTACTACTCCTACAGAATCTCTTGGAATTATTAGAAATGCCCCAGTGAATTTCACTTTCAGATGTACTATATATGCCGATTTTGCAGTAGTTAAGTATTCTAAGCTGATGCTCATTTTATCTAACATATTGCTTGATAAATATAACTATAATTTACTTGCATCAAAGTGAGAATTAAGACTAGAGTGTAATGGTAAGAAATTTTTTATCTCAATTAATATGCATAAGGTCAAGAATAAGCTTGAGATAAATTGTGCAAATATTACTTTTGAATGTGATGATCTATCAGCTCTAAACAAGATTTCTCAGAATTTAAAAAAAAATGCATAAATTGTATGAATTCTGAAAATATAACAATTCATATGAAAGAGCTTAAAAAGGCATTATTTTCTAGCATTCAATCAAATTTGGAAATCATAGGATACTATAATAGTTTACGCAGTCAAATTGAATAGGATGAATAACTATTTGGAAATAAGAAGATGACCTCTTGCTTTAATTTTTTCTAAAGTATTATCAGCTCTCTTATACAAATCCAAGACATCTTCAGAGGATTCAGTAGGCAAAATAATTTCTTTTTTTGTTTCAGGCATTGCTTGACTCTCTTGGGATTGTTTCTTCCCTCCAGTCTTTTTCTTCTTGCTATCAGAAACGGTATTACATCCTAGCGAAGTGTCTTCTAATACATTATCCTAAGGCAGAGAAGTAATATTAGGATTACCTAAGCTTTGGTTATCTGATCCACTTTATTAGAAATGATTGGGTTACCCCATTGCAAATCTACACCAAATCTCATAAACTTGTCGGGTAGAAATGTGATGTTTTTTTGCCATTACTGTTATAGCATTTTTAACTTTTCTACGAAAATTGTGAATTTTCTCAAGAACTTTAGGTGATAAATAGGTAGCACCTGCACAATAATATTCCTTGGATAGATATTCCATTTATTGATAATTATCAAACAAAAAATAACTGATAAAAATCAGAGTTTATCGATTATTATTCAAGTATTGTAATCAATGTTTATTAAACATTATTAAAATTCTTTGATAATTTCTGAAAAAGACCAGATTTTATTAATATTTTTTAAAAAATATAGATATATGAAATCTTTCAAAAATTATCATCTATAAAAAATAAAGTGCTTTTAAACTGCATAATCTCAAAAATTTGATCATATTTTTTTAGTATACTAATGACTAAACCAAAAAATATGCCCAATGTATATACTTTAAGAGATATTAAGAATAAAGGGTGGTTGAGGGTTCACTAAATAAACATACCCCCTCAAGTCATCAGCTTAGTAACATCTGTAAATCAGAATTTGAAAAAGCATTGCGCAGTAGCATCGAAACTGCTTTTGATATTGTTAATGATTTTAAAGACCTGCAGGATGTATATTTAGAGTGAGTGAAGGATTTTAATCATATCTGTTCAGGTTTTAACAATAAGTTTAGTCAGCTGAATACAGCTAATAGTAAGCTTGAAGCCAAATATACTGCTGAAATCAAATCGCTTAAGAGAAAGCTAACTTTGGCCCAGAAAGCTTCGTTCGCTAACAAAGTCCAGATTCTTTTTCTTGAAATTAAAATATATGAATTAGAAGGTAAGTTAGAGGATATATATCTAGAGCGTACATATCATGATTTAGATGTAATGAGAAGGTGATAGAGGGCCAGCCCAAATAAGCTCATTCAAAATAGAATTCCTTAAGCTCGAATTGAAGCGAGCGAATGAGGATCTTGATTCAAAAAAGTATGAAATAGAATGTATAGAAAAAGGGAAAGAGTCATCAGATAGTATGTACAAATAGGAAATAGATATTCTGTCTTCAGGGCGATTAAAGTTAATAGATGAAAATAGATTGCTACGCAACCAGTTAGTATCAAAGAAAGAGCCAAGAGGCATTTCGTATAATGAAGTAGATAATCCATCCTGCCTATGAATAATTCATCACCTTCTAGTCAACCTTCCTCTCTTAATTCATCATCTCAAATAATTTCTATAGGTAGCATAAAAGCAGTACCTTTGATGTCACTGATAATAATATATTCCATACTTACCTTACTACTTATTGCAATTATATGGATTGTGGTTGGGAAAAAGTTATGGAATATATGGAAAAAAAAGCGACTAATTTTTTACCTACAGAAATTATATAAATAGGAATCATGTAAAACACCTCTCGGCCAGACCAGATCATTATTATTTTTAATTCTAATCAACTATCGTATAAGTACTGACGTAAGTGAAACTTCTTTAAATTTTTTTTCAATGCAGGCTAATATCATTTTTGGTAAATCTTTGAGTGGATTTATTAAGATTTTTTCTGCTTGAAATATCATACACACTAATAACTAACCAATATGAATTCGGTCACCTCCCTTACTATTATGCTCATGCTGTAATAAAAATCGATAGTCATTTATTACAATATCTGTCATTTTCTCCTGATCTGTTATTATTTTATGAAATATCTGCCTATCCTTTTCCATGATTAGGAGACAGATTTCATTGGATTTGAAGCCTATATACTGAGAAACTTGGAGACATAGTTCAGCTATTATACCAATAAAGCTTATCTTTAAAATATGTAGATTTTTTTAGCTGATCGTATTCTAAGAATACGGTTTTGCAAAATTATTATATGAGAAAATACTAATGGTCATCTCCAGGCATATCTGAAGGGTCCACTCTGTGACCAAACTGAAAGAGATGTTTACCTTACAAACCCAGATCGAATATAGGAATTGAAGTTAGCTGGTATTATTGCACAAGAAAAAATATGCGATCATAAATAATATTATATGAAGCGTCTTATGATTAAGTATTTAACTAAAATTGCTAGATCTCGCTAAGAGTACTTAGCAATATAGTTCAATGATATTGTCTATATCTACTTCAGATGAATTATTCTTTTTGTCATCCTGTAATTTTGATAATGTTTGATAGCGTGTGATTTTTAGGCCAACTACTTTGTATCATATGCTTCGCAAATCAGCTAATAATGTACATCTATTTTCTTGAATATATGTTAACATATATTTTTCTAAGATCATAGCTTTCGATTTGCGCTTACCAGCCTTAGTAACTAATTTATACATTTCTTCTCTATACCCGTCTTGAATATTTTTTGCAAATATTATTGTTATACAGATTGATCCTTCCTGCTTATCTAATACACTGAGAAAGGAAGACCAGTAAGCATAATTTTCTAAGTATTTTACTATTTTATCAGCATAAGTAGTGTCATATAAATTTTTCGCATAAGTACATGCTTCTTTCCATAGATAGGATATAATAGTCTTATCTTTTTTCAGACCTTCATGTAGGTTTTTGATATACTCCCTAACCTACCTTTCAGTCGATTTCTGCGTTAAGGCATCTCATATTTTTGATACTTCATCTTTATCCATTTTATCTTCATCCTCTTCGTCTTCATTCAGATCATCTTCATACATCCTACCGTCATTCGCTTTATTATCACTCGCTTTATTATCATCTTTTAACTTTTTTAAAACCTCCTGCACAATTTCAGATGATAGCTGATATCTTTCATCATAGTTAATAAATCGTGCACAGAGGCTGACAACAGTTTTCAGATAATAGTTAGTATCAATCTTCTTACCAAAACGTCTTATCACTTCTGGGTACTCTATTTTGTCACCCACCCTATCTGATGAATCATTCTCTTATAATATATTCAAACTGCTCGCCTAGTTCTGGAATTACATAAAGATAAGGCTCAGGTATTAGGCTCTTTTTTATGCATTGTTTAGCATCCGCTTCTTTACAGATGTGTCTATCCTATATTTGTGAAATAAAATACTGAACACTCTTATTATTTTTATCAGGTTTTCACACAGCAGTTTTAACTATTTCATTAAGATCTATCTGTGAAATATTATTTATGGTCTCTTTGAGCACGTCCTTCACAATCTGATGTAAAGTGCAAGTATTATCATTATTCAGCCTTATAGATTCTTTTATGATCTTCTTACCCACCTTACGAAAGTGTTTAGACTACCTCCGCTTTATAATCTCAACCTCTCAAATAAAAAGCTGATTATTAAAGTTTGGCTTACTTATATGTGGGATGCCATAGTATTTTTTCTTTCCAGTAAATATTACTGGAAATAAGACTTTCTCATATGCCATTTTGAGATAAAGAAATCCATTAACTTTCCTGAGAAAGTCATTAACTTCACCTCAGAGTTCACTTATTGCCTCCATAGATATTTCTACTATCTCCTCTCAATACTTTTCCTTCGATATCTTTTCTAAAATGTATTTCTCATTACATTCCTAGAAATATTCTTCTGAACAAACAAGGTATAATGAATTGGTATTCCTGTATTTTACACTAAACCTTTTACTTCTGACAAGGTCAGCAATAAGTTTGATATTCTTCTAACTAACTGATATTACTCCGTCTACTAATGTTCACAAGAAGAAAGAAGGCCTGCTATTCCTAGCTTCACCGTAAAATGTATTCATATACACTTTTAAATTGTGTTGTTTTACGTCTAAACAGGCAATATTGAAGCAAACTGAAGAGTATTCAGATTTTAAAGCATCTGTATCATCCTTACCCTTGCTTTCACCAAACTAATCTTCTTTTCTAATTCTTCTTTTTTATCCTTTAATGGAGAAAACAGCTTTTTAGTGAATTACATCTAATAAGCAACTCCTCTAATACTTTTGAATAAAGGTCTTTCATTTTAGTTTGGTTTTATGCTCTATAGACCATGCGAAAATATCGTGACTATTGAATTTGAAATTAATTCATGAAGTCTTTTACCGCTCTCCTTTAGAGATTCGGCACGCTCTTGAGATTAAATGATTTTATGAGGTGAGAGATTGTATTTCATGATAAGGCTTGGATACAATGATGTAAAGTCTAAGCTAGTTACAGGTCGTCTATTTTTGAAACCCTTTACCAGTGAGAAAATATAGACCCTAAGGTACTTCCCTGTTTCCGTTTGTTCACATAAAATTGTGCTAGATAAAATCCCTTTCTACCACGCACCAGCACTTAAAAGATTACGCACTTTTATTTCTACTGCAAAATAATGTGAATCTTATAATGATATGAAGGCTACAGATGCCACCTTCCTGTACTCGTTAATTGCATTACGCTTCACCATTAACCGCTAACAGCTAATAGCATCAATAATACAATATTCAGCTACTTCGCGCATCTGCTCAGCTGTTGTAGCATTAGTATCTTTTAATGCCCTTCTATAATATTTAAACATATAATGGAAAGGCATATCCAGCTTGTTATCAAGTTTACAATTTAAAACTAGCATATTTATAACTTTTAATTTTAAATAATTCTTATAAAAATCTATTTATTCCTGCAAAAGTAATTTTTATTGAATTTGCTGTATACAGTCAATTCTTGATATAGCGAACTCTTGATATAATGAATTTTTTGAACAAATATAATAAAAATGCTCTTGTTATAGCGAATTGGCCAATCAAATCTCTTAAAATCTTCACTATAGCCTTATAGTGAGATCTAAGACATAGAGTTCGATATAACAAGAGTTGACTGTATTCTTTTTATTATTATGTATCATATTAATAAAATATTCATTAATATGACAATTTAAAGTATTAATATCCTCTATATCTTTAATACTTTCATTAAATCCTTGATTTTTTGTAAAAGTTTTTTAATAACTAACCTAATTATTTGTAAAAGTAACAGTATTATTTATTTCAGAAAACTTTTGATAAAATTCAACATTTTTTTCAAAAGTTTTTTGAAATTTTAAGGGTAATATTGCATAGAAAAAAGAGTTTCTTTTAACAATAAAATAATTATGATCTAAGATAAAATATATAATAAATAATAGCATAATAATATAAGTTTATACTATAATACAATTATTAAATAAGAGGAATATTATATTACCTGAGATGTAAAGCATTTCAGTGATATAACATCCCTTCCTATCCAATAACTATAAATTATTATATAATAAGTATTTTTAATTATATATAAGGTTTAGAATAATAATTTAAACTCAGAATCTAGAATAAATTTATAATCTTTTATCATATTTCAAATTAATAAAGTCATATGATTCAGGTTTTAATATTTTGTATATAAATATAAATCATCTTAAAACATATATAATATATATATATTATTCTATAAAAATAATAGGTAAATATAACCATTTAAGTAAAAATTTTATATAATGCTAAAGTATTTAAAATATTGAATTTTGAATTTTTAAAAAAATTAAAAAAGTTTTATTAAGATATTTAAAATTAAAAAAATAAATTAATATAGATTTGTTAAATAAATAAAATAAAGGTTATTTCTCTATTAAATATATTTAATTATAAAGTTTATATACCTATTATAATTCAATTTTTTAAGATGATCATAAACCTTTTATTAAAATACTTTAAATTATTATAACTGCTTAATACAGTTAGGGAGATTACCGTTTATGGTTATTATCAAATACTGTTAATGATTAACGTTCTAGAATAATCGATAAACATTACAAAATTTAATTAGCTAGTAATTTTAATAAATGCAATTTTCACAATAACTTTAATTTTAAAAAAATTTCAAGCGATAACTTGAAAAATACCAAAATATACAGCATGAAGGTATGTAGTTTTATAATCCGCGAAAACTTTTCCATAATCCCTCCATCTCAAAAAGTATGGTAGCTAGTAAATGATGTGAATTTCTAATTTAAACTAAAAAAAAAGTTATTTTTTT